CCGCGGGGCCGGGCCCCAGGCAGGGCTGTGGCAGCGCGCGGGGACGGTGCCCCGGGGTGAGGAGCGATGGGTGACGGCCCGCGCCGCTTCTACTTCTCCTTCTTGGTCTCCCCGGGGGAGTGCCCGGCGGCGGCGGGGGGCTCCTCGGGCCCCTCCTCCCGCGGCTTCGACTGCTTCTTGGCCTTCTGGTAGAGCTCGTTCAGGTTGAACTCCCGGATGACGTTCTCCTGCAGCCAACGGGCAGCGTCAGCACCCACAGACCCCCCCTCCCGGGGCCGCAGCCGGCCCCCCAGCCCCCGCCCGCACCAGGGGGTCCCACGCACCTCGGAGAAGGTCCAGGACACAGCCCGGCCCTTCTTGTCAATCTGGGGCCGGCGCATGGTCTCCGTCCCGCCCTGGAAGAGGATGAGGGTGGGCAGCTGCTTGGTGAGGGGCGAGGTGCTGACCTTGTACCTGCAGCAGGAGGGGGAGAGCCCAGCGGTGACCCCCGGGGGCTCCCCAGGCCTCAGCCCCTGCATGGGCGCCATTGCCCAGCCTGCCTCCCCCCAGACCTGGTGCTGACGTCCGTGTACCGGCCGACGTCCACCTTCCCGAAGTGCAGCCCGGGGCAGTTGTACCTGGGGGGGAGGAGGACACACGGCTGCGGGTGCCACAGGTGACCGCAGGGCTGGGGGCGAGGCCCAGCCCCAGCCCCGCCGCCCGCCCAGGCCCCCCGTGGGCACCGCTCACTTGAGAGAGAGGTCGGCAAAGATGGGGGCGAAGGACTGGCACTCGCTGGACCAGTTGGCGAAGAACTCGACAATCCAGGTCACCCGCTTGTCCCGGTCCAGCTCCTCCTGCCACAGGGGTGCGGGGCTCAGCAGGGGATGGTGGGCAGAGTCCCCCGGCACCCCCCGGGGAGGGGATACTCACGTCGATGGTCTTGTCACTGAAATACTTGATGTACTCGGGGCCCATGTAGAGGGGGGGCTTGCAGGTCATCAGGAACACTGCAACGACAGCGCCCCTGAGCCCCCCCAGCACCCAGAAGGCCCAGGATGGGTCTGGGACCAGGTGCCTCCCACCCCAGGGAGCCCATGGCAACTGATGCAGAGCGAGCCCGGGGGGCAGGCACTCCCTGAGCACCCCCCACAGCCCACGGCTGCCCCCCGAGCCCATGGAGACACCTCACACCTGCAACCTCCTCCAGCAGCGAGGAGCAGAAGCCAGGCCGGTGGCAGGGGTGAGGAGGGCAGGCCAAGCCGAGCCGTGCCAAGGGGGCACCACCGCTGCCTCCGGTGCTACAGGTCCCCCCCCCGCACGTCTCACCTATGCAGAGCGTGAGGTAGAGCAGGCCCATGCGGATGTCAAGGCGGAAGAAGAGGATGGCGTTTGCCACTTTGCTGAACATGAAGATGTTCCCAATGTGCTGCTCCACAGTGACTGGAGAAGGGAGAGAGGGGTAGAAGATGGGGTCAGAGCCCCTCAGAGGACCAGGGGGGATCCTGAGGGTGGGCCAGATGTGGTCGTCTAGATCCCAACCCATCCAGCTCCTTGCAGGAAGAATCGCAAGCAGCCCCCCGTGCCCACCCCACAGCACAGGCCCCAACTCACTGGAGCGTCGGTTCTTCATCATCACAATGGCGCTGAGGAACATGAGGATCTCCACCTCCCGCTGGGACAGGAGAGACAGCGTGAGCAGGAGGCACCCACAGGGCCCTGCAGCTGCCCGCTGCAGGCACCGCTGGGCTGCAGGGCCGGGAGCAGCCGCAGCCGTTCTGCCCTCCTGCAGTCAGGCTGCTCCTGGCCCAGCCTGGCACAGGGACGAGTGGCGTGCCAAGACCCGCTGGCCCCAGGTTCCCACCAGTTCCCTGCCTCCTCCCGGAGCCTTTCCCTCCCAAATCCCGAGGGGGACACAGCAAGGAGAGCGGGCTGTCCCTGCAGCGACGGTCACTGCCTCCCACCATCGCCGGTGCCTGGGGGGCCCCTCGGCGGCGGGACGGCACCGGCAGAGCGGCACCGGCGACGACTGGGCTCCCCCCTCCCTCCGCAGGGCCGGGGGCGCAGGACCAGAGGCAGGCCGGGCCCAGGGACCGAGCGGGGCGGGACACAGGCCCGGCGGGGGCAGCGGGGAGCCGGGTGCGGGGGTGGGCCCGGGCCGGGCCGCCTCACCCAGTCAAAGTCGCAGGGGTTGCCGTCCTCCCGCTGCGAGGGCAGCCCCTGGCAGAGCGGCGGGACCTTGCGGACGAGCAGGAAGGCGGTGGCCAGCAGGGCGGAGAGCGGGTAGTAGGGCCG